CAATTTAAGAAAGAGATGGACGACTGAGATGCTTCTACAATATCCGTTTGGGGCTGATCATGATACTATTACATTGAATGAAGAAATCAAGAATGGAGTTCCATCAATATATTCTAAATGCCCATTTGATTTCCCAACTTGGTATTTGAAGTCTGTGCTCAATCATTTGTAGAGATATTTATTTTGAGCACAACAAAGTGAACAATTTTTCTTTTTAAGAATTCAAATTTGTTTTTTTGAAATTTGAGATTCATTTTCTCAATTTTTCATGTTTAGAGAATCATTGTATCTCCCACTACGTATCTGATCCATGCACTTAATTTCATGTTTAGATATATTGTATTAGATGTATCTGCTATATACATGTACTTGGTACATACTCCGTGACTTAGATAGATTAATAATGTACCGGCTACATGTAGCATATAGCAGATACATATCTGTATGGACATATTTCAACAAAATCGTCATAGATCACACTTTTATGGAGTTACGGTAATCACAAATTCATTGTTGGTGCAGTTAGCGTTAATGAAGATCCACCAAAGCCAAAACGCACATTTATCAATTCAAATCTACTTAAAAAATTAATATCGAATAATTTGATACGTACTTCAAATACATGTATCTATTATATGCTACATGTAGCTGGTACATAACTAAGTCACAAAGTATGTATTAGATATATGTATATAGGAGATACACCTAATAAAGTATATCTTATGAAATTTGGTGCATGAATCAGATACATAGAAATAAGGGGAAAAACTCAACTATGTCATCGAACTTTCAGAAAAGGCTTATTTATACATTCGTTAAAAGTTTGGCTCATCTATGTCATTGTTGTTAAAGAAATGACTTATCCATACCTTTTTTTTAACTCCAATTTTACAAAACCGTTTTTTACACCAAACAACTTTTAACACTTTTTAATTGGAGTTTTGGATAAAATGTACTCTTTTTGCTTTTTCTTCTTCTTCAAGAACACATGAATAACATAAACAATTCTCGAATTTTCAACATCTTCAATTCTTCACGAAATCATTTCAAATTTCGGTCACATCATTAATTTATTCTTTAAAAAAAACAAAATTCTAAAGTCATTTGTAGAGTTTAAAAAAATCAGCCGTATTAAAAAAGTATTCCAAAAAAATGAAAATCAGTTCCAAAATTTCAAAAAATTGCTTTGATTCGTGATTTTGTAGTTGTTTTGGACATTAGATCTTTGTTCTATAGTGTTTTTGAGTCTATGTTCAAAATTTCAAATGATTTGAAGTTGTGGAGAAAATTTTACCATTAAAGAATGTTGAAGTTTTGAAACTTTGAAGAAATTTCAAGTGAGTCTTGTTGAGTTAGGTTGAATTCAAGCTCAAAAGATATTGAGTTTTGATATCTAGCTTGGAGGGAAGCTACTCTTGAAATTTGAAGTGATTTCGTGAAGAATTGAAGAAGTTTGAAATTTGGGAATTATTAATGTTCTTTATGTGTTCTTGGTGTTTTAAAGGAAGAAGAAGTAAAAAGAGTACATTTGATTCAGAAACTCAAATTTAAAAGCTTTAAAAGTTGTTTGGGGGTGTAAAAAATGGTTTTGCAAAACTGGAGTTAAAAAAGGGCATGAATGAGTCTTTTCTTTAACAACAATGACATAGTAGGCTAAACTTTTAACGATGACATAAATGAACCTTTTCTGAAAGTTCGATGACATATTTGAGCCTTTTTCCTAGAAACAAATTTAAATTTCTGGAAAGAAAAGTTGTTCACTTTGTTGTTGTTAGAAAATGAATGGAAGAAATTAGATTTTTTTTAGAAGTTTAGACTAGATATACTCAAAAGTTGTTAAAGGAGTAATTTCCTCCTTAAATCAAGCATGTTAGTTACAATCTCTAATTAAACATGTATCTTGTTTTGTCAATTCTTCGGATACATGTATCTAGGGGTGTTCGTGGTTCGGTTTGGATCGATTATTGGTTAAAACAAAAACCAAACCAATCTAGTCGATTTTTTAAATTTCTAAAACCAAATGAAAAAAATAATCGTCGGTTTGGTTATTGACTGTTTGGTTCAGTTTTTCTGATTTTTTGAGTTTGAAAGTAATAAATTTTTGAGGACATACGTATCATGATAAACACAAACATCTGGTATATGAACAATCCATTGAAAAACTATTGTTGGTTCAATTAAGCAATTAAAGAAAACTAAAGGTATCATTACACGAACAAAGTGATTTAATTAAGAGAAAATGTAACTATCTTATGAAAGATATGGTAAGTAAAGACTAAAATAATGAATTTTGATGGACTTGGACTTATGATTGTAATAGATGGGCTAAATTTACGTGTTGGGCTTGAGAAAAATGGTAAAGTTAAAGACTTAAGTTATTTAAAATTGAACAAAATATTTATATTTTATTTATGAATAACATATAAATAATTATGAAATTTATATATCTAATTTATCGGTTCGGTTTGGTTATTTTTGCAGTTATTTTTTAGTAAAATCAAAACCAAACCAAACCAAATAGTATCGATTTTTCAAAATGTAAAACCAAACCTAACCAAATATCGGTTTTTTTAATCGGTTTGATTTGGATTGCGGTTCGATTTGATTTTTTAACCATAATCATGAACAACCCTACATGTATCTGTCGAGTTAAGATACATGTATCCAACCAACGAAATGTGGTACAAGAAGTAATATTTGAAACTACTGTGAATACTAGTAATTAAGACCTAAACTAGTGAGATTTATGTTGTTTGTCCAAAGAATAATAATGTACTACATGAGACTCAAACCCGTAACAATTGGACAAACTTTGAACCCCTTAGACACCAAATCAGGCTTCTCTTTAGTGTAAGGATATATATATATAAAATCAGAATTTGATCTTATACATATAATATAGGGATAAGGATCTGAAAAATACCTCAACTTTGGTCGGATTTGCTGTTGCGATACTAAACTTTCATAAGGACCTATTACCTCCCTAGACTATTTAATACCGTATTTTTTACCCCCTGAACTATTTAATAATATATTTTAAAGGTATATATGTGTCCATGTGGACACATTACTATTTATAATTTTGCATTATTTTTTATGTTCACGTGGGCAAATATATATGTTTAAAATACGGTATTAAATAGTCTAGGGAGGTAATAGATCCTTATGAAAGTTTA